GCTTCTGGCTGAGCGGTGCTCCCCCTGTGGGAGCACACTGACCACCAGAGGGCAGCTCCTGCGTTGAGCATCTGCCCCCTGGTGGTCAGTGCACGTCATCGCCACCGGTTGTTCCGCCGTTTGGTCGATTTGCATATTGGCCTTTTATTATATAGGATTTCTACAATGAGATCGTTTTCTGAACATATCCAATAATGAAAAATTCTATTTACAACTGACATGTATTTTTCTTTTTTCAGTAGTTACAATGGTTGGAATAGGGATGCCTATTCCCTAAGAATTTGGGGTCTAGGGTGAGTAACTAAAATATATATTATTGTACGAAATGGATTTAATATTATTTACCTTCCTCTTATGTCTATAATTAAATTTACTGTGAGTTGTTTAAAATTCTAGCATTTTAAAGCACTTAGTAAAAAATTATAACTTACCAAAGATAAGGTTGTGGTTTATTACACTGTCATTTTTTAAAGTCACTTTAAACTTAAAAACTTTTGCAGCATTATATTTTAGAAGTTTGCTTTGGTTTTATATAATGAAAAATAATTTTGATTTTTGCCTCAGATTTTTGCCTCAAGCATCCATAGATCTTACACCTCAGGCCTTCAATGAAAAAGTTTTACAAGGGAAAAACCATTGGGTGATTGACTTCTATGCTCCTTGGTGTGGACCTTGCCAAAATTTTGCTCCAGAGTTTGAGCTCTTGGCCAGGGTAAGTCTTAAATAAATTGTAATCACATGCATGTTTTAATAATTAGCTGAAACATTTTAAATATAATTTTTATTTTCTTAAAAGTTTCCTCTGAATTTTAAAAACCATTTCATTTCTACAACTATAATCTTTGCAGTAGGCTTCATTCTTTATTTAAAAAGTTAGCCAGCATCTCTACCTAATTGTTTTTGGGTCAGTGACTTTTTTTTTTTTCCTTCAACAAGAAACTAAACATCTAACCACTGGGTCTTCAAATTCAAATTTAGGTGATGACTTCTATGATTATTAATACAAAAGCATATGTCTGGCCCTGGCCAGGTTGCTCAATTGGTCAGAGCATTGTCCCAATATGCCAAGGTTGCAGGTTCAATCTCCGGTCAGAGCACACTCAAGAATTAGCCAATACTGCATAAATAAGTGGGACAACAAATCAATGTTTGTTTTTCTCTCTCTTCCCCTCCTTAGATGACATCATCATCTTCCTAACCTTAATAGCCAGAAGCCTCACTTCTGCTTGTTCCCTTTTTCCTTCAATTAATTCCTTCCCTGCAATTAAGGAAGGAATCCTTTTTTTGATCAGATGTGTACACGCTAGAGAAAGTAAGAGATCTGATAGTTAGTGAGACAACCGGAGAGTGTAGCTGGAGTAGTCAGCCTTCCACAAGATGGGTGCTACCTCAGCACATGAGATCAGAGAAAGACAGGAAGGAGACCATCTGGGATGTTTATGCTGTGACAGACAGGTGTAGGTACCAAGAAGTTGAGGTCATTTAGGGCAAAGCTCAATTTTCTTGATAAGGCAAAAGAGAAATTAATGCTATTGGAGATGTGCTGGACAAATAGGAATGCAAAGCGCCAGTAAGAATTTGGAAGCAATCTTATTTGAATGGGGAGGATTGAAATGTTTTAAATAACAAATCCTTAGGTTTATAAAGATTTGAAATGTTTAGTATCACATTGCTTTGTGGTTGCCAAAATACTTCATTCCAAGGAGAATGGTAAACCATATTTGTCTTTTTTCAGATGATTAAAGGAAAAGTGAAAGCTGGAAAAGTAGACTGTCAGGCCAATGCTCAGACATGCCAGAAAGCTGGTATCAGAGCCTATCCAACTGTTAAATTCTTTCCCTACGAAAGATCAAAGGTACGTACAGGTTTTTCCTCCATGTTCCTTTCCTTTAGCAGGCCAAGCTCAAAAGATTTTTTGTTTAGACTGAGTAATGCTCTTTTCTAGATTCTTTTCTCTTTATCATTATCTTATTGCATATTATTAAAAAACGGTCCTTTTTATATATACACTAAATGATTTTAAAAGGTTTTGTGTCTCACAATTGATATGATCTCCATTGCCTTAAAATTTTTACACTCATTAATAGGAAAATTACTCAAGAGACAAACCAAAATACTAATAGTGGTTTTCTATGGGTGATAGAATTCGAGGTAATTATTTACTTTCTGTGAAGTTTTATATTTCCTACTTTTATAGAATTAACATATAGTACCTTTATGATTAACTAGAGGCCCAGTGCACGAAATTCGGGTGGGGGGGGGGGGGCCCCCCACTGGCCTGCACCCTCTCCAATCTGGGACCCCTCAGGGGATGTCCAACTGCCCTGTGGGATCAGGTCTGAACCAGTTGGACATTCCTCTCACAATCTGGGACTGCTGGCCCTCAACCATTAGCCTGCCTACCTGCCTGATTCCCCTAACCACTCCCCTACCTACCAGCCTGATCACCCCCTAACCGCTCCCCTGCCGGCCTGATTGACGCCTAACTGCTCCCTTGCCAGCCTGATTGCCCCCAACTGCCCTCCCCTGCCAGCCATCTTGTGGCGGCGTGAGGACCACCTAGGTTTTTATTAGTATAGATTTTTTCCCAGGAAAGGATAGTATGCTATTGTAATACTTTTGAAATAACCTTAGTACCAGAGTATTTATCTTATAGAATCTTTATTAATGAATGATTTAGGCTATAAAAGTTGGTGCAGTCATTATTCCTTTTTTATAGGTCCGTAACTTTTTTTTTTTTTCCCAGTAAGAAACTAGACATCTAACCAGTGGGTCTTAAAATTCAAATTCAGGTGATAACTTTTATGATTACTAATACAAAAGCATATGTCTGGCCCTGGCCAGGTTGCTCAATTGTTAGAATGTGTTAACAATATGCCAAGGTTGCAGGTTCAGTCTCTGGTTATGGCACATACAAGAATCAGCCAATGAATGTATAAACAACAAATCAATGTTTGTTTTTCTCTCTCTTCCCCTCCCACCCCCTCCTTTCTCTAAAAAAATAAATAAATAAATTTTTTTTAAGTACATGTGTATCAGCCAGTATAATTGCTAACTGAAAGTACTCATGACCTTTGCTGTCTTCCCAAGTAAAAGAATGACATTATTGGCACAAGAACTATGATAAAATATTTTCTTTGTACTATATTCATGTTTTCTGATAAAACATGAAATTAATAATTTCAAATATTTTAATATATACTTTTTGAGAAAGAATATCTGATTAAGGTCTCATGTTATTTATTGGTAATTATAATACATTTTTAAATAGAGCTAAATATTTAAATAGATAAATTAAATGGTGAATTTCAGAAATCTAGAATTGTCAGACATTTAGATTTTTCAGTGAAGGATTTTGATTAGTCCAAGAGGCTATTTTAAGAACAGCATAGGGTAAGCATAACTTGAGAGGGAAAATGTTTTATACCTGAGGCTGAATCTTCATTCCTTTGGAATCACTAGCTTTGCTTCCCAATTCTCAGAACAGCTGAGAAGTGGGTGACATCATGTCAAATGATGTTAGAGAAATATCAATAAAATGACCAGTCATAGAAATGATCAGGCCATAGAGGGAGCTCTTTGAAAATATTGCCCGGCTTAGGTGGCTCAGTGGTTGAACAGCGACCTATGAACCAGGAGGTCACAGTTCCATTCCCGATCAGGGCACATGCTCCAGTTGCAGGCTTGATCCCCAGTGTAAGGCATGCAGGAGGCAGCCGATCAATGATTCTCTCTCATCATTGATGTTTCTCTCTCTCTCTCTCTTCCTCCCTGAAATAAGTAAAAAATATATATTTTTTGGAATATAATGAACAACATAAACTGATGAACAAAAATAGAACCAGAGACATAGAAGCGTCGAACAGACTGTCCAACCTATGAGGGAAGGCGTGGGGTGAGGGGCTAAGAGACCAAAGGACTTGTATGCATGCATATGAGCATAACCAATGGACACAGACAGTAGGGGGGTGAGGGCATGTGCTGTGGGGTGGGAGCGGCCGGGGAGAGGTCAATGGGGGAAAAAGGAGACTCATGTAATACTTTTAACAATAAAGAATTTAAATTAAAATATACACACACACACACACATATATTTAAAAAAAAGAAAATATGATGTTACCATATGTCTAGAGGAGTCCAGAGGACAGATTAGGACCCAGAATATCCCTGTCCAAACTGAAAGGCAGGGTTGGCATCCAGAAGTCCAGGCTAGAGGAAGAGGCCAAAGTAGAATGATGATTGGAATAAACAGAAATGCAAACCCAGATGGGCAGTTATATGATGAAACAAAATCCTAACACATAATTGTGGGGTTCTCTCCAGGAGGAATGAAACAGGTGGCTCCAGATCCCAAGTGAGCAGAGTTGGTCATATTCACCTGTCCCCTCCCAGCCACCTTCCTGCTATGGGCAGAAGAGAGCCAGGAGATAGGCATTGCTTTTCCAATGGTTAGTTAGTCATGGTTTTGTCTGTGTCAGAGATTGTATTAGATTAGAATGATTTTAGTCCCCTGGGCATATCTTTTCTTACACAGTTTAAATGTTTTCAGGCATTTGGAGTTAACAATGCATATTTCCCATGTTCTCATAACAGTATCAGTATTTATTTCAGGTAAATAATGGGTTAACTGTGCTTTTGTAGCATTATTTCCTTGAAGAAATTTAAGTTTCGAGCACTTAGAATTTTAAGGACTATTTTATTCAAGTTTCTGAGGTACAAATGTCATGTTTTGATTAGATACTTAAAAGATTATAAGAAAAGTGTTTTTAATTTTAGAGAAATATTGGGGGAGAGCAAATAGATTCCAGAGATGCAAAAGAGATTGCTGCTTTAATATATGAAAAATTGGAAAATCTCCAAAAACATGGAATGAGAAATAAGGTAAGGACTAAGTCTAGAGCTGACTGCAAACATTATCTACAGTTATTCTTCCTATATTTTATATGTATGAATAAGCAGGGAAAACAAAGCTTCAAAAAACAGTAAGTAGTTGGAAATTCTTCTTTGGAAAATATGAGAATCAGAATGTAGCCTATAAACACTGAAATGCTTAGAGATTTGGACAAGTAAAATCACTTAAGAAATTATGGCTATAAATTATTTACATTTTGTTCAAATGTAAGTAAAGCAGTGACTTGTTAGGAAAGGAATACATATACTGGAGCCTCCTGACAGACACATTTGGATAGCAAATACTCTTTTGTTCTTATTTAGTCGGGATGTGTTGGAACCCATGGACCTCCTGGCCTCTCCTTGAATTTTTAACCCATCAAGCAGTTGCAGCCTTTCTCCTGCTGTTCTTTGCAAGGACTGTTTATTATTTTTCTTCTTTAAATCATGTCATTCTAGGACAGACTTAGACCAAACAGTCCATGAATGCTAGAGTGCCTTCTGAATGGGATTTAATACAATCACATGAGGGTGCTTGGATTCCTTTCCTATACAGTGAAATGGCAGAAGAACAGCACAGCGTTGGGAAAGGGCTAGGACATCTGGCTCCGTAGAATCATTAGAACTACAGACCCCAACATAGAAAGTCTGACAGCCTGCTTCGGGAATTATGTTTTCTCCAAATCTAACAGTTAGGAAAGAGATAGTTATGAATCTTTATTTTCTTGGTTTCAGTAAACAAAAATGTTTTTCTGATAGTTTGTTTAGCTGTTTTCTCAAGATGTTTTGTGACTTTCTCATTAAACATTTGAGATAGCAAACACTGTTACTCATAAATCAAATGTCATAACTGAAATTAAGTTAAAGAGCGCATCAAAATATGACTTCGAATGTGTAAAGCTATAATTGGTAGTATCTGCCTGCGTAAGAACTATGTGATACCCTTTCCTCTACCATTGTTATAGGTAGGAGAGGTTCTTATGTGGTGGGCTCATTAAATAAGAAATATAGAGTATGTAATTATTTTTGAGAAGATAAAAGTTTGGTTAGCTTATACTATTTTACCTTGTTTTTAATATAATCTCATGTTTCTTTTCTCTTTCAATTACTTTTATATTGTTGAAGGATGAACTTTAATGATAGTGAAGATGAAGAAAAAGTTGAAAACAAATTCTGACAAATGACATCAGAAGATATCTTTTTAGACTGTTACTACATTCATGGTGGGAATAAGTGAGCATTATATTGGACCTGTAATTGCACTGTCTAAATTCTATACAACATTGGTATGAATGAAAGGTCTGCAAGCTTTCTATAATGTGCCAGGTCATAAATATTTTAGGCTTTGTAGACCATATGCGGTTCTTTGTCACATATGCTGTTTTGCTTTGTTTACAACCCTTTGAAAAATATAAAAACCACTCTTAGCTGAGGGCCATCCACAAATAGACCACAAGTCACATTCAGCCATGAGCCATAGATTGCTGACTACTGGAAATGATGTTTGGGCTGACTGGCTTGAACATGATTTTGCTCTGCTAGTGTATATGTCTAAGTGGTACAAAGTGAACTCTATCACTTAATGTGTTGTGGCTCACCTGAAAAAAGAGAACTTGGTTTTCAATCACCTGTTCTTCTAAAAATTCTCTGAAATTGATTCTCTAATCATATATTTCATTTAAAAAAAATGTGATGTGGCAAAATAAACAGATACCCTATTTTCATGATGTATTAGAGTGAAGTGATTCTTCATTCTTTTCTTTCTTAAAGGTTAAAGAATTAATTTTAATTTTCTACAGTTGAGAACAATTTTTGTAACAGTGAGTAAGCAAATTCTATAGATTTCTACAGGATCCAGAAATACCTGAAAAAAAAATATGTACAGCAATTAACAGGTCACTGTAGAGTATCCCAAACATATCGAGCACTTAGAGTCCTATATTTTAAAGATACGTGTTAATTTATTTTCTAAATATTTTTCATAAAGGTTTTCCCTGTGATACTAATTAACTTTTGAAGCATCTTTCTAATATTTATGTTTTTGCCTTCTGGGCTCTTTTGTTGTGTATCCTTTATTTCCATTTGCCTGTTTTTCTTCATAGTTGTTGTTTTTCACTCTTTTCTCTTCATTTTTCAAACAGGAGAAATAACTGCAATTTCACTATAACTCATACTGATAATGTGGTCATTCCAATTAATTGGAGGCTATCATGTTCAGATAAATATTGGCACAATAACAAATTATTTTTGTAAGAAAAGTATATAAATCTAAGAATGAGATCTTTTAGTTTCTCAGTTGTTCAGAATCAAATAATTATAATTCAGGGTATGTGCTATGGTAAAAATTCCAGTTGAGCAAAAAAAGAGGTCATTGAATTTAAAAAATATCTTCAGTTTTCCCAAAAACCTATTAGGATTATGCTTTATTATATTGGAAGAGATTTGTTTTTTTAAATATCATTTTACCTCCTTCCCCAAAATTTCCTCATATTTTATAGCTCCAACTGATAGAAAAATATATTTTTTTTATTTTCAAGTGTAACCCTATTCTTCATAGTCTCTCCCATGTTGTTTTTAGTCTATTCCTTAATTCCTTATCTTAGACCTCATTTTACACATGTAGGCACATACAGAATAATTACCACTTTTAGCCTTAATTTACCACCACCTTTTTGAATTATGATCAGTAATGGCAAGTGCCTTTCATTTATTAAATTTTCAAAGCCTAGAAAATGTTTTGAATTGGCTTGTTTCTATAAGAAGCCTAAAATGGAATCCTAAAGAGGTCCTGGTAAATATTTACTGATTGCTGTACCAGGTACAGTGGGGCCTTGACTTACGAGTTTAATTCCAATTTACTGATTGCTGTACCAGGTTATTAATGCCAATGTGCTGGACACTGAGGAGAGGACGAACGGCCCAGTGTGTGATTCACAGTGCTGACGCTGAGTCCATAAACAAGGATGCAGGCACCTGTGTACTACTACCTATAAGTATCATCCAAATTTAATTGAAAAACATCTTAAACAGTAAATAAAATAGAAAAAATTATATATCCTATAACTTGGCCTAAGTCTGTGCCTGTGGAATCAGCTGTAAAGCCAGCGCTATCTGGGAGTCATGTTAAGTAATGTGAATCCTGCAGTCACATCAGTATCATTGGTATTTAAAAGACCGCTGACAGAATTAAAGGCTTTAATGGCCACATTCGTGCAGGAGAGCACCTCGAAAGATGCCGTTTCTCTCAGCAACCTCATTGTTGTGTGCAGGTGGCCTCCGGTACCACACCATTCATTTCTAGCAGACCAGAGTGCATCTGTCAGGCAGTTGGATTTGAAAATGAGATACGTTTAAATATGTGACGATGTGAAACCATTTTGAATGTCTGTTTTTGGTATTAATGATGCTTGCCTATCTCAGTTGTCCAGTTTTTAACATCTTTCATATCTTTTTTACTTAAAGTATGTGATTAAGATAAAGGGAAAATAAAATTAAATTATTGTATAATGATTTTTATATTGTAAAAGTTTTTTTTAAATTGGTTCTTTTTTAGTTTTGTTTCCTTGGGGGAAAGAAATTAATATTGTTAAACAACTAGGGTAAAAATCTAGATTATCTATAAATGCAATAGAACAGGATCAGAAAGGCTTCCATAGGGGCCTCAGTAGTAAGGGATGTGATACTTTTGATGGCTTTATGGTGATATAACCTCCTGGGTATTTTAGCTCTCGGAAGAAAATGTTTACTCAAATGTTTACTCTGCACTACTACAGAATCAGCCATAACGAGCTTTCTGTAATGCTGATATACTTTTTGCAAGCCATGTATCTCTCAGTTACATTTTCCCAGTTGATTACATTCCAAATAGCTTTCAGATAATCAGGTCTGACATTTTTATACTGAAAGTAATAAGCATGCTCCCACACATCATTCCCCAAAAGTAGAATGAGACGAGACCTTTTCATTGAAGGGGATCCTGGTTAGAACAAGCAGCAGTCTAGAAGCATCCTTGCTCCTTATGGAAACCAAGCCAGCTCCCACCTGAGTGAGCCTTGAACGTCAGCAGAAACAGCTAAATGCAGTGAAGGAACCAGTCATGTTGATGACTTCCAGCAATTCCCCTTTGGGTTCTCCACCACCACGAGGGCTCAGGTCTGACGAGAAAATGCTGGTTGATGTGGCCTCCACTGTTGAACTTCAGGCAGGCTGAAGAGTTATTTGAGTGGCATTGTCACCCTTCTCCGCACCTCCCCGTGCTTGTCCTCACCTCCCTGGTGTTCAGGTTGTTCACATAGGCAGTGTGGTGCTTGCTGTGGTGCAGCTGCATGATCCGGGCGTTGGTGTGAGACTCTGGGGCGCCGTAGTCGTAGGGCAAGTCCGGGAGGTGGTGTGCTGACAGCCCGGAGCGAACCAGTCGATTCTTTGTTTTCTGACAGTATTCAAAGCAGAAATTTTCTTTGCAGTACATTCATCAGAAAAGAAATACTGCATGGTTTCCTATGGCGCACATTTACAAAGCTGCTTATGTATGAGAAAGTTTAATGAGGAAGTAGTATTTTTAAACCATTTTAACGGAATTTTTGTATAATAATTAGTCTAGTTTTAATCTTTATGTCTACCAACAAACTCAGATAAAGGTCTTAAATTATACATATTCAGTGAAATAATACAAAGGTTAAATTAGCCCTGGGCAGTTTGGCTCGGGGGATAGAGCGTCAGCCTGCAGACTAAAGGATCCCAGGTTTAATTCCGGTCAAGGGCACATGCCCAGGTTGCAGACTCATCCCCAGTAGGGGGTGTGCAGGAGGCAGCCAATCAATGATTATCTCTCATCATTGATGTTTCTCTCTCTCCCTCTGTCTTCCTCTCTGAAGTCAATAAAAATATTTTTAAAAAACAAAGGTTAAATTAACCTAATGTATATTAAATATTCTATAATACCTAAAGAACATTTATTCTGAAGATGAAAAGGAAATAATATATCTGGAAGTATATACTTTACTCAATACCATAGAACAAAACTTAAATATACCCCAAATCTGGTGAATAAGCTTGTTTTCAAAATGAATAATAACAAAATTTAGGTCAACCACCAAGGTAAGTATAAATGTACTATATCTATATATATCAATATATATCTATGCCTATAGATATATAGGTAAATATATAAAAGGTTAATAATATGCTAAGTGTTCAACCGGTCGCTATGATGCGCACTGACCACCAGGGGGCAGACGCTCAATGCAGGAGCTGCCGAGCTGCAGTGACTTGGCAGCAGCGGTTATCGGGAGATGCACCCCAAAACCAGAGAGGAGAGAGTCCAATTCCTTGTGGGGTGACGTGATTCCACCTTCGGCCTTGGGTTATGTTGTTGCTGGGGCACTGTCGGCCCCGAATCTGGTTTACTGCACACTTGCGTTTGTGTTCCACAAACTGTATGACAGCAACTTTGCAGAGTGCCCTCTCGTACTCCAGGACCCCTTGGGGGATGTAGGAGAGCCGGTTTTGCCCCGTCCCCACAGGCCAGGCCGAGGCACCCCACCTGCCGGAGGGATCTTGTTCACTCCACAGACGCCTTTCGAGATTCCACAGCACCACCCCAGGTGCTGTCGGCAGGGGGAGGTGACGGCAACTTTGCAGAGTGCCCTCTCGCACTCCAGGACCCCTTGGGGGATGTAGGAGAGCCGGTTTTGCCCCGTCCCCACAGGCCAGGCCGAGGCACCCCACCTGCCGGAGGGATCTTGTTCACTCCACAGACGCCTTTCGAGATTCCACAGCACCACCCCAGGTGCTGTCGGCAGGGGGAGGGACTGAGGGAGGTTGGCTCCAGGGCCTGTTGGGCCATCTTGCCCAGTCCCGCCCCACCGGCCACCTTCTAATTAATTTCCTTTCAACGTGCACAAATCCATGCACCGGGTCACTAGTGTAAATATAAATTTGTTAGGGACCCACTGGCTCAAGTCATTTCTTTTAATGTTTAACAGCGGGTTTGCACTCATACTATGACCCAATCCTCATATTAGATATATTTTGAGAGGTAACTAACCAAAATTATGGTTGGGGCTGATGCCAAACTGGCCAATATCAATAATGAATCCAAGACTGTATTATTTAGTAGCCTGCTGTTCTGATATTTAGTAATCATTCAAAAAGGTCTGTGCTAATGTCCACACACAAAAAATATATATGCCATATTAACTACTGAAGAAGTGAAAAAAAGTTTTTTTTAAAAGAATGAATAGGTTCTAGTGTAAGATGGCAACATAGGAGGTTCCTGAACTCGCCTCCTCTCATGAACACACAAAAACTACCTACATACAGAACAATTTTCTCTTAAAGGAATGCAGAAACTAGAGTGACTACTGGGAACAAGAAAAAACCCACAATGAAATGGGTAGGAGAGACAGACAGGGTATTAAACCCACCTCTGGTGTAAAGACACAACTAGAACAAAATTCATGACTTCCAATTTCTCAGAGGAGCAAAGGTTTGAACCTCACATCTGGTGCCCCACCTTTCTGTGTGATAAGCTTATTTGCAATCTCCAGTGCTTCAACCTGAGGGGCTGGCTTTTAACACACATCTAGGAGCTGCCTGCAGTACTGCGCAGAGAACACAGAGGACAGCACTATCTTTGTGCTGTCCCTCTGCCTCGCTCCAGGTGGCTGTATTTTCCAGAAAAACTTTTGCACATATCTAGCACCCCAGCATCTGTGACCACCATACAGGGG